CCCCCCCCCCTCCCCACAGATCTCCCTTGCCATAACCAAAGATTAAGGAATGAATCCATCCGCTGTTGGAGCAACATCCCATTTATCACCATGCCACTCAGCCGTGCACATGGAAAATCGTTTGCGCACCGCAGCGAGCTGAAGCACGCAAAGCGGATCGTAGTGAAGCTGGGTAGTGCTGTTGTGACTCGAGGGGACGAGTGCGGCTTGGCCCTTGGGAGGCTGGCATCTATTGTAGAGCAGGTAATTCTGTGACTGAAGTGGAATGTTTGTCTTAATTTCAGATACTTTGGAATTGTTGGATGCAGTGGGAGATTGTAGAAAAAAACTCATAAAGCAGTGATGGCCCTTTAAAGCAATATGTTATGTTGGCCTTTCCCTTCTTCATCCCTTGTGCTGTAGTAGCATAAACCATGTAACTCAGTAAGTCTGTGGTAGAAGGTGTGACCCCAGCCAGCAGCTAAGCACACACACAGATGCTTGTTTGCTCCCCACACCTCTACCCCACCACGTTAGATTAGGTAGAAAATAGGAAGAGCAAAAGTTAGAAAACTCATGTGTTGAAATAAAGACAGTTAGTGAAGGAAAGGGGAAAAGAAATAACTGATGCTAAGACCATCACTCACTACCTTGTGCAAGCAGACCGATGCCCAGCTTGTCCCCAAGTCACAGCTACCTTGGAAGACAACCCCTGCACTTGGCTATTCTGATACCCCAGTTTTATTACTGAGCGTGATGTTATATGGTATGGAACGTCCCTCTGGCCAGTTTGTGTCAACCGTCCCTGATGTGTCCTCTCTGAACTACTTTTCCTGCCCTTACCTTACCTGCTGTGATGGGACATAGTGGGGAAAAAGAAAACCTTGATGCTCTACAAGTAGTGTTTAGCAGTAGGCAAACCAGCAGAATGTTATCAACAGTGGTTTAGTCCTGAATTCCAAAACACAGCACTATATGGGCCCTTATGGAGAAAGTTCACTCTATCTTGGCCAGACCCAGTATATATAGAGCGATTTGCACAGTGAGATTTTTATGCAATAGTTAAGACATGACCAGGGCACATGACCAGGGCATTAGCTGGATCTAGTGGCACTGAAGTTTGTGAAATCAGCAGAAAGAGTAGAGTCTTCTTGACTACCTGAGCATTTGCCGATTTCCTCCAGGAGAAAGCTTGAAACCTTGTTACTTGTAGGAAAAAACTGATGGGATCAACTCATAGATTGGTTCTCCAAAATGAAATTATGACCTTGAGGGAGATGGACATGTCTTCTCTGGGAAGTAAAGTCAACATAATAAATTCAATTCATCTAAGACATTTAGCTTTAGAGCTTTGAAAGGAATGTGGACAGATGCATGTAAGGAAGAAGTAATTAAAAGCTGTACTATCAGAGTTAGCCTCTTCACTATTAGAATACAAAGTTACTGGATAATGGCAGTCTTGAGAATGGGTGGTGAATAAGAAGGTTGGCGGAAGATACAGCTGCTACTTGACAGCTTTTTCATATCTTATCTTTCCTTATCTGTAGCAATGGAGGTGGAGGGGCAAGGGGTGTAGAAGTGTTACTGTGTAATAAGTATTGTGAAAATTCAGCATGACTGTTGTAAAAATTAGTATTGTGAAAAAAAAGTTTAGCAGAAGCTGAAGATTGCATGTGGTCCTTTGCATAGCTGCTGAGTGGCTAGGAAGGCATGCAGGAATGTCTTAGAAGGTGGTTGCCTTGCTTTGCACAGTCAGCAAGAACTGGTGATCATACGGTTGCTGGTAACAGCCAGAGTTGTCATGCTAGCAGTGGTCATAGTCCAGGCCCTATTTCTTAGGTTCTGTATTTACAGGTGTCAATGCTTCAAAATCAGGGCCGGGAAATGATGATTGTCACCAGTGGTGCTGTAGCTTTCGGAAAGCAGCGCCTACGCCATGAGATCTTGCTTTCTCAGAGTGTGAGGCAAGCGCTTCATTCAGGCCAGAATCAGCTAAAAGATATGGTGAGTGGCTGGCAGCACTCCTGCTTCTTCTTGAACATGGGGCACTACCTGCTCAAGTCTCTGCCTGACAGATGTTCTTTATCTTTGTAGGCTATCCCGGTCTTGGAGGCCCGAGCCTGTGCAGCAGCTGGCCAGAGTGGACTAATGGCTCTGTATGAGGCCATGTTTACGCAGTACAGCATCTGTGCAGCTCAAGTAAGGGATCCTTTCTTACTGACTCGCTACTTGGGTCAATGATAGAATTGTTGGATTTCATTCATGTTTTATATGTTGCTGTCTTTATTGTAGTCTTGTATTTCCATTGCCATCCTACCTTTGAGCCTTATTATTGTAGTGTAAATGGTAGCTTATACAGGAGTGACTTGCTAAGTATTTCTGAGATGGAGTTACCTGTTGTCAAGGTGAAGCAAACAGGCTTTTTTTTTTTTTTTTTGAGTTTGTGTGTGTCCTGCTCTTATGTATGGGGTGGAGTGGGGGTGTGTGTGTCTGTTAAAGTCTTTTTCATAAAAGCCGAAGGTGGTGATCTGAAGTGAGGGTTTAAAAATCACAAGAGGCTGAACTGCCACACGTTCTGTAAAGCTGACAGAAGTGCATATCCACTTCAGAACTTGCTGTCCATCTGCTCCTTAAACCTTTCTAACTTGTGGGTGATGGTGTCCCTAGCATGGGTCTTCTACCTATACTTCATGCTGCAACTGTAATAATTGAGCTACTCTTAAACAGGCTTTGCTTATCTTAAATACTCTGAGAATACAGAATTGCATCAACTGTAAGGCCTTATTTGTTTAGACACTTTTAATTAAATTAGGAGCCTCACTTGGAGGAACTTCTTCCTATAATACAGTATAGCTGATATCATTAAAATGTTTATGGTATAGCTAGCAATTGCTATAAATTGTGGTGGATTTTAATCTTGTCCTCTGTAGACAGCTATCATTCCTTGGATTTAAAAGAACTAATTGCCCATGCCAAAAAAGTGAGTGTACACATTGATTGAAAGTGCTGTTGTAACATTTGTGTGGTGGAGTTGTTTGCTTAGCTCTCAAATATCCAATGGCAGAGCAAAAGTTTAAAAAATGTCTCTTCAGAGCAGGCATTGAGGTTTATTTTATCTTAAAATGACAGGAAGAAAGAGGTGGTGTCTGCATGCAGGAGGCTTTAAGACCAAGATTCTTTCAGAAAAGGAAGTGAGTTCTAGAGCTGAAGAGAAGTCTTGAGACAAAGCATCCCTTCTGCTTGCAACAGTAGAAACATTACACTGCAAAGAAAAACATGAAAGTCAGTGTCTTGAGCAATCTGTCGGATTGTTTAGGGATTTAGTAGTTATCATCAGCACTTATATTCTGCTTATGGGTTTTTTTTTCCAAGCTGATTCCTGAAGCCTGTGATTTGTCAGCTTGAGAAAGGCCATTATAGGTTCCAGTGGAATTTAAGGCATATAAACCTGAAAATGTTGTGGAAAGAACATGTCTCAGATATTCTTTATCCTTTAAATGTGGCTTATGTTTCTTTAGTGACCTGAAGGGCATGCCTGATCTGTTATGAGATGTTAATACATACGCTTATGATGTTCTTCTCAGGAAAAGTGGTAGGCTAAGTATATATTAATTTTTTTCCCTCCTTTTAGATTTTAGTCACCAACCTGGATTTCCATGATGAGCAGAAGCGTCGGAACTTAAATGGAACATTGCATGAGCTTTTAAGAATGAATATAGTCCCTATAATTAACACTAATGATGCAGTTGTTCCACCTCCGGAGCCGAACAGTGATCTGCAGGGGGTAAATGTGGGTAAAGTATTGCAAGGGGCTGGATTCTGCATGTAGATGGTACAGCACTAATGTGTACTTCACTAATGCCATAACTGGGGACCTCTGAAGCCCGCAGCAGGGAAACAAACATACAGAAATTAGTAATGTGGACAGAGGGCACTGGAACACTATGCTGACCTGTTTGTTTCTGGCATGATACAGTACTCTGGGGTGAAAGCATGGCAGATGATGTCTGCTCTGCTAAAAGTAAGCATGCCCAGTTTAGTTTTCACTGAGTAGTTGAAGCTGGAAGGGACTTCTGCAGGTCATCTATTCCAGCACCTCCGCTTAAAGCAGGCTCAGTTAGTACCTCTGCTCCTGCCGCTGGGCACCAAGGTGGAGAATGCAGGTGCTGCTCACACTGATTATCATTTTGATACTGCTTTACTGCATTCCAAAAGCATATGTACTTTGACACAAAGATCAGTTTCCAAGTTTCCAGTGGGTGTGAACAAAGTAGCTCAGAATGACCTGGTAGTGCTGAGGTAGTTTGCTTCTGTCTGTTGTGGCCAAATAATGTCCGAGTTCCTCCTGCTATTCAGTGCTGATGAGATGCATGTGCATTGCAGGTGATTAGTGTGAAGGATAATGACAGTCTGGCAGCACGGCTGGCTGTGGAAATGAAAACTGATCTTCTGATTGTCCTCTCAGACGTAGAAGGTTTGTGAGTCATTTCTTTACTTTCTTGCTTTATTGAAGTACATCGGATAGTCAAACCAACTGGTTTTCGCGTTTTACTGGCCTCTTGAGTTCATATTTTTTAAAGGGACAATTACAATGTACCACATAACTCCTTAAGGCATATAGCCAACGCTGATGCTGTTGTATAAGCCAAAGACTTGTCTGCCACACTGTTGAGTCACGATGGGTGAGAATGCATGTGAACTTGAGACTTGTTCCAGAACGCAGAATACCATAGGTACTATGGTACTTCTGCTGGCTTCTCAGAAATGTATGATACAGTCATGAGTAACATGCAGGATAAAGGCTGTGTGTTTAGAATCAGGAGTATAAGCCAAATACTATTCTACAGTACCTTGTTTCTTATGGCAGCAAGTTCTGTCTTTCAGTGAATTACAGGTATGTTACAAGTCCTGGTCATTGCCTTCCAGATACCTGGAACTCACTAGCTTTTTCTGTCTCCCAGGCATTTGGCTTACACTGCTCTAGTCTTCTGAGCTGTGCTGCTGTGACATGAGTCTGTCACCTATGGATGTTGAATTGAAGTTCCTTTTCAAGAGAGAGGATGGTAGTGGGTGAGGTTTCAGATCAGTGCAGCCCACATCACCCAAGTCACATAGTCTTTTTCTCTTCTCCAGATGTTTTGTTTTTTTTTTTTCGGTGGATCGTGGACATTGGCACATATTGTAGGCCCTGAGGAGGAAGGGGGTACCTTCCCATAAACAGCTTCTTTTCACAGATTCAGCTGGATTTTATGGTTCATTCTAGTTGAAATGACTGAGAATGACTCATAAAAGCAATAGTCAAAACAACTTCTAAAAAAAAAGTGAGTGGTCCTCACTTGTGTTTTCTAATTTGTAATGCCAGTATTTGTTCACACAGAATTTCTGGGAAGTATGGTTGTAGAGTTTAGATTTAATGTGTTATGTAAACCAAAGCATCATTCAATCCAAACATAGTTACATAAAATTACTAGATCTTTAAAAAAATTAATGAGTATGTCTCTGTAGGGTTGTGTTCCTTCTTAGCAGAATTCAGTAGTTACCATTTTTACATATTTCTGAATTGCCCCGTTTATCACTGTAGAACCCAGCATTCAAGAATATAATCTGATATTTTTGTGAAGAGGACTATCCTTTGCTTGTTCAATTGTATGTGTAAGTCCTGATTTTGAATGTATAAAAGCCATAAACCATCTCTGTAACCTCAACCAAATATCACTACCTCCCAGCTTACATGCAGCTATTCAGCCTGTGGGTTTTTGTTTCTTACTTGTTATGCTTTCAGTAAAGATATACTTCTTGAGTCTGCCTGATGAGTGTCTCATGCTTTTGGTCCCACAAAACCAGGGTTCAGTTTAAGTTTTCAGTCCTGTAAAGTGGAATACAGCTTTTCAGTCTCATGGATTTTATTCTTTTTTTCTTTTTCATGGGTGAGCTTTGGAGATGAGGGTATGTAATACTAACAGATTTTTATTATTTATTTCAGGACTCTTTGACAGCCCTCCAGGATCTGATGATGCAAAGCTCATTGACATATTCTACCCAGGAGACCAGCAGTCTGTAACATTTGGAACCAAATCCCGTGTGGGAATGGGAGGCATGGAAGCCAAGGTAGAAATACAGAACATTTGTTTTGTTATTGAGAAGGAAAGGAAGACGTGGGAAAGGGAGGTAGATGAGATGATTGTGCTGCTGTTCAGATGGATTTGGACAGGCTGCAGAAATGGGCAGACAGGAACCTTGTGGAGTTCAGTAATGGGAAATGCCATGTCTTACCCCTAGGGAGGCACAACTCTATTCACTGGTATGGGCTGGGGAGTTGTGTTGGTTTAGGCCCTGCTGGGACCAGAGACCACGTTGCCGTTGTCCCTCCCGCACCCTCAGCCAGTCAGGCTGGAAGTGAGGCACAAACCCTGGGTTAAAATAAGAAGAAATTTAATACAACAGTGTGATAAACAATCTGAACAACAACAGTAGCAATGATGACAACAATAAACAGCAATAACAGTGAACAAGACAAAAGATATACAGAGAAATACCGCAAATGGTCACGGAACAAACCTGCCGTGTGCTTCCCGTGACCAAAGCTACAAAGGAAAAAGTTCCCGTGTTCTCCCCACCCGGACTTGAGGTCAGCATGGTATGAATAACCCGGCTGGAGATCCCTTCCCCCTTCTCTGCAGGGGGGAACTTAACCCTATCCCAGCTGAACCAGGACAGGAGTTCACTGGCTAAAAGCAGTTCACTGAAAAGGACGTAAGGGTCCTGGTAGACAGCAAAGTGGAATGTGAGCCAGCAATGTTCCCTTCAGGTAAACCAGGCCAGCAGCATCCTTGGTTCCACGAGAAAGAACATAGCCAGCAGGTTGAGGGAAATTATTATTTCCCTCTACTCAGCATTAGTGAGACAAAATCTATAGAGTTGTGTCTGGTTCTGGACACCACAGTAGAAGAAGGACATGGCATACTACAGTGAATCCAAAGGAGAGCCGTGAATATGATTAAAGAGTTGGAGCATCTGTCACACCAGAAGAGGCTGAGAGCTAGGACTGCTTACCCCAGAGAAGAGGAGGTTTGTTTATAAATATCTGAATGGAGGTGTAGATAAGACAGAGCCAGACTCTCTTCAGTGGTATCCAGGGAACAGATAAGAGACAATGGGCACAGATTGAAATACAAGAAATTAAACTGAAATGCAAGAATTTTACGGTGAGGTTGCTGAAGTGTTGGAGCAGGTGCCCAAGAGAACTTGTGGAATTTCAGTGTTTGGAGATGTTCAAAACCTGACTGGATGGTGTCCTGAGTAACTTGCTCTATTTGACCCTGCTTTGAGCAGGTGGTTGAACTGTATGATCTCCAGAGATCCTTTCCAGCCTCAGCTGTTTTGGGAGTATCCTGGAGGAGTGTATGGGTTCCTTTAGTGTCTCTTAGGTCTGTGAGAATTGAAAAGCGCAACTAATGAATTACATCCCAGTAGTTTGTAAAATGTGACATTTGGAACTGGATTAAGTTGGTGTTTTAAATTAAAATAAGGTCAGTAAAATAAAGATTTTGGCAATCCCCATCATTTGAATCTGGTGTGGTGTCTGTCTCTTTTCTGAATTTGTAAGTGTGCTCTTTGCTTCTGAAGGATATAGTGGTGGAGATGAAGATACTTCAGTTCTTGAGTACAAGATAAGTAGAGGTAGGAGGGTAGATGGTTCTTAGTGCTGTGTACAGTTGGATGCCCTTGGTATTCATTGCTGTGAATGCATAAACATGGGTGTTGCTGTAAGACTTCAGCATATGTGTTTCATGATGCTGGGATATGCACTATAGTAGTATTAATTGGTGTGGGCTTCCTAAGGGCCCTTCTTGGAAGGTTGTCTGTAAAAACTGAAGTAGATATTGACTAAGCAGGGGAAGACCAAACTGAAATTCTTCACCAGTTACCATGGTTTTTGTCCTTTCCTGAAGAATTGGGTATGGCATATTTCAGTGTCAGAGCATGGACTGGAAGGTGGCAAAAGGAGGAGGCATTTGTGTTCTGTTTCTAACTATGGGATGTACAGAGCTTATTTAGAAACAACTTTCCTTTGATCTGCCTTCTGGAATAGTTTAAACAAATCCAGGTATTGAGGGGAAAGTTGCCAAGGTCAGAGAGTACTTGCATTGTAAAAATAATAACCTGTTAGAGGCATTTGGTATCTTTATGTCTGAGTCATGTAGAGGCAAAACTCAATGCTGCTGTTGTAACAGGAAATCGTTACAGTTGAAAATTGGATGATATTTTTTGAAAACTGTAACATCAATAATAGAATAAACAGATGGTAGCTCAAATTACAAATCTTGATTATCATCATGAAATTTGAGGGGAAAATGGAGCAGTTGATGGTCTTGTGGTAGTCGAGTTTGATGCGATAGATGTCTCTGACAGGTGGTGTCCCCTAGTGAACATGGACTGTAATACCTAATTGTAGAACCATATTAGGAAAGTGTAGAAGTGAGGAAGCAGAGAAGCTTTTGCAGTCAAATAAATGACGTGTAATTAAATACAGTGGTCAGATAATGCTGCTCATACCTTGATCAGGAAAAGAAATGAAGGAGACCACAGGCAGTACCTCTTCAGCAGGTAACATCTGGGATTTGGGTTTGTGTTTTTGTCTTTTAGCTTGAACCAGTGAAACGTTGGGGGGGGGGGGAAATTTTAGAGAAGTCATTTTGTGATGCCTTAAACAATGGCTCAGGTGTGTGGAAAGAGGCTAATCTTAGGACTAATCAGTACATGGGGATTTCAAAGGACCTTTACTAATAAGCTAATCCTGCTGTAAACGTAACATTCTACAGAAGGACTAAGCAAACTCCAGTATGCCAGCACTGAAGTTCACAAAGGGAACTTATGTTGCCCTTCATGTTAAGGCAATGCCTACAAAGGTACTGCCCCTAAATTTCATAGAGCTCTTGTTGGTTGCGATGCCTGCCTCCCCACCCACCCTCCATGCCATCCTTTAGCACACAGGTGAGCTGGTAGTATCATTGATTTCAGTTCCCATCTGTCTGCGGACATCAGATTTTTGATGTTTCAGACTTGCTTCTTGCCTTAGATCTTATGTCTCTTGCTTTTATACATTGCTTAGTGCGCTGCAGTCCCAACCTTTGAAGATGACTCCTAAATGCTATATGTATAGAATCCTCTTCCAAAGTAACAACAAAAAGGGGGGAAATGCCAAATAAAAAAGCATATAATTCAAAACTGAAAAAGTGTGAAGTCTTTGAATAGAGGCTACTGAAAGAAACAACTATTAAGACAATAGGTGTACTTCCAGGCAAAAAGTAGAAGCAAATAAATAAAAAATCCAATGAGAACATGAACAGGCAATGTGAACAAAGTAGGTAAAAACTTCGTGTGGAAACCAGAGTAACTCTTCAGCAAGCTTCATAGTTTGACCAAAGGGTTATAAATAGTGAGAATATCTCTACATCTTAACTAGACCCCCGACGAGTGCTTAGGCTGATGAAACTTCAAGGGAATAATTCAGACTGATAAAGGTATTCAATAATATTTTAATGTTATATGGTAATGGCTAGGAAAGTGCTCTGCAGTACAAGCAATATCATGTGGTCACTTAAAGTGGATTAATTACTGATAGCTAATCATTGTCAGGGAAATTGGCAACAGAATCTTTTCAAAAAAGAAAATTGTTTTTCTTCAAACAGTAAGAAGAATTTGGAACATAAGGTAATGGTGAAAAAGAGCATATGACCTAAGTGCCCTTGCAGAAATCTTGAAAAAAGCAGGCTGTTGGGAAAATTTACAGTACATTCATGAAGTGACAGCTAGTTAAGGAAAGGAAGGTAACGCATAAATACACGGTCTCATTCAGTGCTCCATTTTCTGAAGTGTGTTGAACGCTCTTTGAAAGTGGAAGTGATCAATCTGGAGATCAAAGAAAAGGAAGAACTCTTGTTAAGAGTGGTCATTCAAATAACAAATCAATTTCCTAGAACTGGCTCTGTCCTTCACTGTAGGTGAAAGCAGCTCTGTGGGCCCTCCAGGGAGGCACCTCTGTGGTGATTGCAAATGGAACCCACCCCAAGATCTCAGGTCATGTCATCACAGATATTGTGGAAGGGAAAAAAGTTGGAACTTTTTTTTCAGAGGTAAAACCTGCAGGTGAGTACATGGAGACTTGTAGAGATTTCCTGAAAGGCTGGAGTTAAAATTTGGCTAGACCGTTACAATAACTGGGAAACCACACTTGAAAAATGGTTTTTGAAAGGTATTTTCTAAAGTAGGAATAGAAGATGTTGAACCATCTGCTGTGGTTCCCTCCAGCTGATAAAGTGCTGCATCAGACTTATATTTGAAGAATGCAATGAGTAGTATTTCTGCCAGCTTTAGTCTTAGGTGTTATTGTCTAGTATTGAAGATTTCAGTGTGAAAGTGTGGATGTAGAATGTACTGCTGAACTAAGATAGTATAATTAATTATGTGTCCACAGGTTCTTTTCTCAGACTTCCCACTGTACCTCTTGATATTTTCCATAACACTGGAATTCCTGCTCTGGCATTTTCTGTGAGACTCTTCTTAGTTGGGTCATATTTATCACCTTCAAGTCATCTGTTTTACAGGCAATTTCAGAAGATTTAAAAACCACAACTTAGTTTATCCATGAGCTACTTGCAAACTCTTTAGGGAAATGCTACCTGAACCTGGTGACTTGAAATAGAAACAGAAGTAACCTGTTCCATATCAAAAACCCCCCACCTTTCTTCTATAGGAACCCTTCTAAAATGCATACGGGGAGAGGCAGAGGGAAAGCAATTTCTCTGAGAGCTGTTCTCAGATTGGGTTTTGGCTTCCATTATTGTATGTTTCCATATTATTCTGTAATCCTGTCCATTTTCCTCAGTTGGATACTTAAACTTTTCAAAGTTTGCCTGCTTTCAGTAGCCTACCATGCCCTGTGACTTTGCTATCCTGGTGTTCTTTTGCCCTTTGTCAAGTCTTTTTGATACACGATGCATGCTTGCCTCTGATGTGGTGACTTTACAGAATCTCTGTGATGACTCTGTGCTTGGAGACCATAGCAGTATTTTTGTGTCAGGTACAGATTTTCCTGTTTTAATACACAACAGATTTCTTGAATATGTCTGTTCAAGACTCTATACCTGCTTTCCTGCTTTGAGCAAAGAATCGAAAGAGGAAAGGCCTAGCGTTCACTTCCACATGTGTGTTACTTTGTCTGCATAGCATATTTTTGGGTTTTTTTGCAGGTCCTACAGTAGAGCAGCAGGGTGAAATGGCTCGAGCTGGTGGCAGGACCCTGGCGGCTCTACAGCCTGAGCAGGTGACAGAACAATATGGCATCACTCATTCAGCTTGTGAATGTGTGGCAAGTTTTACAGCATGGATATATAACCCAAATGGGTCCCTAATAATCTATTCTTTGTGTGCCAGATCCATCGTCTTGATTGTAGCATGCATAAGGAGATGAGAAAAGCCAAAAGATAATGTACCTTCGGGCTATGAAGTCATATATGCTTTCATGTGGGGTTTATAAAAATTTTAATAGCATCAAATATCACACAGAAATGAATTGTGATCAGAGCTGCTGAAGAGCTGACAGGAATAACTTGCTCCATTCACTCCTGTGTGTAGTGTATGCAAAGGAGAAGCTCTGCAGCTGGGTAGGTAAAATGTGACATCTGTTGTGAAGAAGACAATTTGGTCTTAAAGGAAGAGCATTGTGGGTTTGGTGAAGAATACTGGGTATGGAAAGCAAGATAATAAAAAGCAAAGTAAAGGTTGAATCAGTGTTCATCTTAATTTTTCAGTGTGATGCAGGCTGGAAAAATCAGCCGGCCCACAGTGTTCAGGAGCCAAGACTTTGAGAGTATGTGGTCAACAGAAATGGACTGAAGGAGACCAGATGTCAAATAGCATGGACTTTGTGTAAGAAGTTGGTTCAGAAACTGTTTTCTCTTTCAGAGAGCAGAGATTATTTATCGCCTTGCTGATTTACTAACTGACCAGAGAGAAGAAATTCTCTTGGCAAACAAAAAGGACTTAGAAGAGGCTGAAAATAAAGGTAATATTTCAAGTCTTTCCATGATAATCTTACTGTCTTGAACCTCTCTGGGCCTCAATGAAGATGAGCAATAATAAAATCTTCTGTCAACTGGGGTTAGGCACTATGGCTGTCACAGATTAGTGAACCCAAGACCCTGAGAGCTTGACCATGTAAACAGCTGCAGCTTCCTTAATTACATAAAACAGATACCTTCATCAGGCCTTGCAAAACAACAGGCAGCATAAAAAAAAAAGGCGCTCCATTTTGCCAAAGGAGGCTTACTTTAGAAATGGACTATAACAAACATAATCTCTATTATTGTCATGGATAAAGTAAGTATTTTCTGGGCTGGTTTAGGTAATGTTTGGCTCCTGAGGGGAAGGCTTTCATCTCTATACTTAAAATTAATTCTCTCCAAAAAGAACTGCGTCTCCTCCTGATTGAGGAAGGTTCTCTCTAGGTGGCTTGGATTAAACCCATTCTTCTGTGATAGACTGATGCATTCATTGAGAAATTGGGACTGGGATGTGTGCATACATGGATAGCAAATGTATGAAAATGACACATCGTGAATTGTAATACCTTGTGGAAGACAACAGGGAACTGTTTTTTACTGACCAGAGGGGATGCTGTTGGGTTAACATACTGTCCAGATGTGTTCAGACTAGAAAATTCATGCCCAGTCTGAACACAAATGCTATGCATGTGTCTGTACTTTGGGATTTTCTTCTGTGAAATAGAAAGATGAAATTACTACCTGAACCTTCCAGAAATACTACAAGAGTAGAAATTTGTAAGAAATTCAAACATACAGGAATACTTGTAATAGGACAAACCTTATCTTCTGGGTGTTGATGATGCTTCATGTACATATCACTTAAACCACATCAAAGTGAAAATGTGGTGGTGGGTGAAATCATTGTCACGTATTCAATGGTTTTATTGTGCCTACTGGACTTAATGCTGTGCATTTTTCATCTCTGATAGGTTTCTTGCCTAGGGCATGAGAAACACTTGAATTTTCCTTAGGTTCACCACTTGTTTAAGTTGCTTTTGCTTGAGTCTAGGCAGACCAGTCTATTTCCAGCACAACTTTTTCTTTATCTTAGGGAGATTGGCACTTCCTTTGTTGAAACGTCTAAGTCTGTCTACGTCAAAGCTGAACAGCTTGGCTATTGGTCTGCGTCAGATTGCAGCATCCTCACAGGACAGCGTTGGCCGTGTAATTCGACGAACACGAATAGCAAAAGACCTGGAGTTGGAGCAGGTGACAGTACCTATTGGCGTCCTTCTCGTGATCTTTGAGTCCCGTCCTGACTGTCTTCCACAGGTATGTAACGAGGGCAGATTACACTGGGAGTTCTTTGACAACAGAAGAAAGGGTATTTCTGTTGGTGAGCAATTGGGAGGCTGAAAGAAGTCTTGTCTCAAAGAACTCTTGCTTGGATTCTTCTAAAAATGATTTTGTTGGCATCCCTATTTTTCATGCAGAGATATTCTCAGGAGTTGCTGCTACAGTGTTCAATGTTATTCAGGCTTGGTTTTGTTCTGGTTTTTAAACCCAACGAATAGAAGGAGTTATCTTACATTCAGATGGTCCAGTTCCTGTCTGTGTCTTACAAATGTTTGTTCAGTGCCTGACTCACAGTTTGGGAGGCTCCTGCCCATAAGCACTTGTTTTATCTGTCCATGCTGCATATAGCTGAACTGCAGGCTGGGGTTAAGCCAGAGCTGTTTAATACAGATGTTAGTAATTAACTGTAAATGTGAGGAATACATGATAAAAAATTTTAAAAGGCTGAGCACAGAAGGGACAGAAGTTACAGGCTTTCAGTGGTTTGTCCTATACTGATACTGGTTGTGGGTAGTGAGGCGGAATGATAGCTTTGACTCACTTGTAGTGAGATGGGTGTGAGGAAGAATGTTGTTCTAAGGTCTTAAGCACTGAAGTTGCTGGAAAGGCTAGTGAAAAATAGTGTACTGTAAGTGAATGTCATTTATTTTGTGCCAGGAATAAGGCAGGCATCTTAAAGGCAAATACCTTCACTGCAGCACTGGGTATGAGTATTGCTGTGAATAAATGCTTTTATAATGCATGAAAACATGGGGACTGAACTAATGTTGCAGAGGCCACCTTGATCTCATTTTCTAACTCCTGACTTCTGAGCAACTGTAAACTGTAGAGTTTAAAAAGAAAAATAGTTCATTATCAACACTGTTTCCTACGATTAACATTAGGTGTCTAGGAAGATCGATTGAATTATCTAACACATCAGCATGTGTTTGAGGAGAAAGTGGGGGTTACAGACACTTCAAAAGGAAGTGAGACTCGGCCAGTGGACAGCTTGGTACTTCATGCCTGAATTTTTTGAGTGGTCCCCATTTCATACTGAAAGGAAGCATCTAGGCAAAGTTCCCATGAAACAAAAAGGCACCAGTCTCCCTTGTCTACCATTATTAGCTCCTTGCTGCTGGCCCTGTTCTTCATGGATAAACCAGCGTGTTTCCTTGTCACATTCTAGTCTGTCTGCCTGGACTTCAACCCTGGTCTCTTGCCTTGGATAGATGATGTCTCCCTCTTTTTCCTCACGTTTATCTTACCTTAACACTTAGACCAAACTGACTCTTGCTGGCTTTTTCTCCCACTTTGTTTTACAGACTTGGAATAGCTTGTCTTGGTAGTTGCTTTTCTTCCTGACAGCCTCCTGTCAAATCACATCAGGTTCTCTGATGCGATTTCGGAGGATCATCTTCGATACCTCTGCGTTTGAATTGCATGGTTTCTTCCCCTGCAACTGATAGTAGGACAGTCTCTGAGTGCAGGGGAGCAGTTCCTCCTTAGTTCACTACTGCATCTCATGCTTTTTTGGGTAAGCAGATAAGGGAAAATTTGTCTTTGCCCTGGAAGAGGGCCTGCTCAGTTTCCTCCCTGGAGATAGCTTGTGCAGAGTTAGGTCAGTGCTTGGAGTTCAGTCTTGAGTTGCAGTAAAGGTGAAACAATTGTAGATTTCCATGTGAGATTTAATAAGCTTCTAATGAGCATATGCACACAGCATGTTTACCTCTACACTTAGGAGGGCAAACTGTGAACATCTTTCACAGACTGCTTCCTGTAGGTTATACCAAATCCAATTGTTGCTCTGAAGTATAGTCATGTCTGTTGTTCTTCGAAGGAACTGAACTGTTTTGAAAACCCTTACCTTCTGTTCCCCTTTTTATCACAAAATTTTTTAAATTTTTGTCTTAATTCTTGGTTATTTTTTTTCTTTTAGTTTTTCAAATCAGTTCATAACCTTTCTTTTAATCCTATGCCTTCAGAGTGGAATTATTTATTTAAACAAGCTTATTTGTTTAGCTTTCCCTTGTGATGCTGACCTTTGGAGAGACAGACACCTACAAGATACTTTAAAAATACAATCAGACTGCTTTTTAGTGTCTAGTTTTGTAAGTTAGAAAAACACACAATATCTATGTAAGGCAGGCTTCCTAAACTGTTAAACTTCAGTGTATTTTTCTGAAGTATTTCTAATTCTTCAACATTCTTTTCAAATTGCTGACAGCAGGATGAAGTAGACTATCAAACATGGTGTTTGTTGCTATCCATTTGATATTAGAAGGGGAAAGAACATGATCTTAGAAGATGTATCTAATGGGTTTAGCATTTTTTGGTATAGATTAGCATCTGAAGTGTGCCACTAAGCTAACTGCTTCTTAGATGTGAGCCTGGCTAGTTCTGGCATGCACATCTCGACAGCATACAATTGATGTACTAATGAGTGCAGGTTTGGTGATGATACCTACAGATGATGATACATATGATCTTTCTCAGAATATAGTAATACAGTAGAATTACTTCAAATGATTAATTTGTTCATTTTAAAAGGTTCTGGGGATGATCTGATTTTGTTTTCTAAGGGAGTGTATGCTATTTTTTCCAAATAGGTGGACAAATTGTGAGGCCATTGTGAATGGGAGGAAGACAAAAACAGATGCAAAAGTAAATAATTCTGGGAAGAGAGCTTTATCACATCCAGCATACTCCTAAGTAGAAAAGAACTAAAACCTGAAACAATAAAAAACCTACCACCCCCCACTCTGATAGAGAGGTTTTCAGTTTAGTGGGGAAAACACCAAAAAGAATTAGTGGCTTGAGACTGAACAAATGGGCTATATGTTTTCAACAGCAGAAGTAATTTTTTTATCTAATTTTCCAAAAACAGTGACGACTTTGGAGCATTTTTAAAAAATATGGCCTAGTTGTGTTGCTGGACTCAAATAGGTGAAATCTGTCACCGTAAAGAGAAAGGCAACAATATTGGTTCCTTCTGGTGATCAACATGAAAGCAAGGTGGTACAGATGATGCTGGGCCTGTTGTCTAGAAGGCTTTTTTCCCACACGTAAGGCACCTGTTGTCTCTTTATGAATTCTTTGTTAGATAGCATGATGAAAATGTTCTTCCTGCTCATAGGAAGAGCTCATTAGCTGTCTGCCAGAATGGTTAGGGACAAAGTTCTTGCACCTAAAATTACTCTGCTTGGGTGACTGCCTACACAGCTACTCAATTTGTACCAGAGCCTGTGCCCAAGGTTTCCTCCAACTTGTCCATTATAGTTCTCCCCTGGCAATAGTACCCTGAAAACTCAAGTTTGTTCCTGAAACACTAACACATGTCATTTCTGGAGTTAAATGTGTTGTTACTTGTAATGATTTTTTGGTGCCATAAAATGAAAAATGTACATTAACAAGGAGTAAATCAACAGTATTAAAAATCCTTTTCTTAATCTATTTCATGGGTGTTATTCCAACAGGAGAGACAGATTATTTCTCTCTCTTTTAAAATAAATTCTGACAGGTGTCTGCTTTGGCTGTAGCCAGTGGAAATGGCTTACTACTGAAAGGAGGGAAAGAGGCAGCACACAGCAATCAAATCCTTCATCATCTAACACAGGAAGCACTCTCCATTCATGGAGTAAAAGATGCAGTGCAACTAGTAAGTGCCTAGAATTATATCAACAATTTCTTTGATATGGTGTGTATAAAAAGTATGGGCAGAACTCTAGAGTTCAAACTGTAGACTGTTCATATTGCAACTACCACAGGTGAACACAAGAGAGGAAGTAGAAGATCTCTGCCGTTTGGATAAGCTGATAGATCTAATCATTCCACGTGGTTCATCACAGCTAGTCAGGAATATCCAGAAATCTGCTAAGGGAATCCCTGTGATGGGACACAGCGAAGGGATCTGTCATGTGTACGTGGACACGGATGCCAGCGTTGAGAAGGTCACACGCATAAGTAAGCTGGGAGAGGGTGACTTGAATGTCATGTGTGCAACTGAACTTCGTATTTAGAATATGCGATATGGTTGTGGTAATTGATAATTCATATGCTGTTCAAAATCTTTGTCATAAATGTTATGTAACCAATTATCTACTCTTAAACCTCAGTCAGAGACTCAAAGTGTGAATATCCTGCTGCCTGTAATGCTCTGGAAACTCTCTTAATTCATCGAGACTTGCTGAGAACCCCGTTGTTTGATCAGATCATAGACATGTTGAGAGTAGAACAGGTTAGTCACTCATACTTGTGTTCTGTTTTGTGGGTTTTTTCCTAACACTTTAGAAGCATTTGGTCTGGCTAGTGTAGCCCTGTTTAGTTTTGTGATGGCATAACACTTACATTATCCATATGTCTCTTTGTACACATAAATGAACTTAAGAAGAACTTTCTCTGCACACAACCCCAAGTTTTCCCATATAAATGATCCAAAAGCAGCTTCTTCAGGACATCTACGTGCCATTGTTGGGATACAAGTACTTCCTTTTGTATAGCAAAAATAATCTGCCTTAAAAGAAGGTATACACAAGCCTTTTGCCACACTCCTTAATTCTGACTTAATGGCTGTTAACCTCCCAGACATAAAGCTGCCTCTCCTTGAATCTATTCATTTGGCTTCTTACTCAAGTGAATTATCTTTCTGGTTTTCTCCTTTCTGAATCTGCTTTGTCAACATGTTTTTTAAACCTTTCATCTTCATACCCACCCATTTTTCCTCCTGGTACATCAAAGGAACAGCAAAAGGCCAGTATACTAGTTAGTTGTCTTGACATGGGTAATATTTTGTCAGTAAAGGTAGCAGAGATGCACTGGGAGAGAAATATCCATGAAGTAGCATGAATTACACCTAAGTTGAGGATTTTCACACAGCAGTATGTATTTGGCAAATTGGGTGTACAGGCAGTGATTAATGCAGGGGAAATGGAGAGGCCATATGTTCTGGTGATGTTAAAAGGGTCATAGTAAAAGAAGCTGATCGGTAGTCAGGAGCAAGTCCTCACTTAATGGAATTTTTTTCATGTCTTGCTTGGATATTTCTTGGGAGGGGTAGAGTGAAGGGCAGATTTCTGGATTTTGGATGGGGGTAATGTGAGAACTAGTGCTTTTTCACCACCACCCATCTAGCTCCGAATACGGTGGGGAGGATGTCACCTCTCTAATCTGACCTAACAAGAAATATGCAAATATCAGGCAGGATTATCCAATTCATGTAATTTGCATTACATTATTACAAATCGTAGTTGTACAAGAAAGTGCCATTTTACAGATACCTTCTTAAAAGCCTTCAAATATTGCAGACTTGTGCCTATTTCCCATTGTCTCCTCAAAATTGCCCATGTTTCATTTGCCTGGGGATTTCTCTGCTGTAGCAGTTCTAAATTATCTCTCATTGTTTAGGTGTCTCGGCTGCTATGATTAAATTTAAAGATTGATAATGCATTAGATCATCTTTATAACAAATGAAAAATAATTGTGTGAATTTTCTTGTTTTGTACCCAGTAACTTTGTGTCTGAAACACACTTCAGAGAGGGCTGGTGTCAGTTTACAAAGTAAAAGGGTAAAAGTCATTCAAGGTCTTCAGTCTTTTCTAGGTGCAAACTTGGAAGCATTCTTGTAGTTATTCTCTGCACTGCAGTTGCTTTCTTAAAACAAGGGCTGGCTGCTATATTTTAGCTGTTTTCCCAGTACTAGTGTTCTACTGTCCTCCTGCCTGATGACTAAGTGATGCAATTGCTTTAAATAATTTGAAATGAGTCCTGAACTAGGAGTGGGCTGTGGTAGGTAGCATGTCAGCTATTGGACCTTGTTGCTAGTTCACCAATCTGCTAAGTTTCCCAAAGTGTAGGCTTCTTTTTCTTACGTTGCACTCAGTGAACATACAAGTGAGGCAAACCTAATTACTCCCCATCTGCTACAAGTAGATCAAAGCCCAGCCAGTCTCTGAGCAATGCATACCTTCTTCAAAAAATCCCTCCCCTCGGTTTGTATTGCTGCACATGACATTATATGGAATGGAATTCCCTTTGGTCAGTTCAGGTCAGTTACTGTGGTTCTGTCCCCTCCCAGCTTCCTGCACATTCCCAACCCTCTTTCTAGGGGAACAGAGTGGGGGAAAAAGAGAAGGCCTTGACACTGTGCAAGCTCTGTTCAGCAACAGTGCGTTTTCAACACTGTTTTAGTTGCAAGTCAAAAACATCGCACCATAGAGACTGTAATGAAGAAAATTAACTTCATCCCACACAGACTACAAGAAGCCACACTTCCACCTGGAAGGCATTGCTATTGTCAGCAGCACAAAATGTTTCTGGTATTGCAGGTGAAGATTCACGCTGGCCCAAAGTTTGCATCCTACTTGACATTCAGCCCTTCAGAAGTGAAATCTCTCCGCACGGAATATGGGGACCTGGAGTGCTGCATTGAGGTGGTGGACAGCGTCCAAGAGGCTGTTGAACATATCCACAAGTACGGAAGTTCTCACACGGATGTTATCATCACAGAGAATGGTTAGTGATTAGTCTGCTTGCTTAAGCTACCATTTTGGCTTAGCTGCTAATTCTTGGTGTTAAAGTAACTGAGGCGGGCAGAGGAAGCAAGCAGCCGATTCAGTGTGAATGATAGAGCAAGCCTCAACTTTATTGAAAGAAATCACACCTTATATAAGCACTACAATAATCATGCATACTACTCACAAATCTATTGGATACATGTAAAAAGCTACATTATAATATCCCAGCCCCTTGTGGTATTTCAGGTATGCATAAACACCTTCCCTTTCTGGCCTGCTTTCCCTTTATCATACAGTAGGCCATAATGTACCTCAGTTTCTTTGTTAGCATAACTGTACCCTGGGTTTTTTCCTCTGTTTACCTCAGGTGGCTGCAATCAGCTTCTGCAGGGAGCTATGGCCTTGCTCTCTGCAAGCGGTTCTCCAACAAGTAACTACTTGCATTGCAGTAGTTGTTCTTCTCTTGGGTCTGTAGTAGGCATGACCAGCTGGAGGCCTATGAGCTAAATGTGCCTACAGTCTTTGTTTAGCTCAGAAAAAACATGTTGTGTGGCCCTTATTCCAGGATGTGAAGGTATGTGCTTGACCAGCTGGCCAGTGGCAAGGCAGCACATGCTCTTTCCAGGCAGATTGCTTTGTGTTCCTGTATTGAGCAGATTTAGTGCTTCAGAGGGTTTTGTTGGAACACCTCTTGAAACCTGGAGGTGTCCTTAGGCCTTTGAAGGCTGATGACGCGAGCCTCTGTAGTACCTTGCTGGAGGGAATAGGGATTGTAGGGAAGATCAGACTTGATCCGCTTTGTCTTCCTGTGTCACTTTTAGATCTTGCAAACAAGGACCACAAATGTTTTCTCCCTACCTCTCCCAGTCCTTTACTTACCATTTCTGCATCCCTAGTATAAAAATTGCATTTATCTCAATTTGCAGTTTTTTGCCTCTTTATTGTAAACTTGTGCTGCTTCGTGCAGCTCTGTGCTGCTCCTATCCTTAGCACCTCTCCTGCATGCAGTTTGAACATCGTGCCAGTTCAAAACCTAGCTAGAGCTGTGCCCAGCCAAAGGCTGACTCTTGGACCAAGCCTGGAACTCCTGAGGATCAGCTGCAGTAAGGTCACATTGATCTGTGGGTCATCAGCGTGTGAGTCAAGCAGGCTTCTGTTTCTGTACCTCCTGCCGAGCTTAAATGAGTGTCACTAAAAGGCATGCATTTGATACCATAACCCACTGCCACGGGACCTGGTGCACTCGTGATTTGCTAGGGACTGTACTGGAAATATGTTCATCTTGTCATAAAGGCAACTGACCGGCAGCTCGCAGCCTTACAGAGAACGGAGTCCTCCAGAGGACTAAGACTTGCGTAACTGCTTGAGCTTGCTCAGGTCTTGCATGTTCTGTGTTAAACTGGGTTAGTTAGCTGATTTCATGTGGTATTTTTGTATTGTATTTCCCAAATATTACCTGCAATTTAATTTAGTTTAGGAATTTACATTTTCTGTAACAATTCCATGTTTGAGATTAATGGAGAGCCGACTCTGTAGTTCAACTGTCTCAGCCTGCAAAATGTTGTTTGGGGCAGCTGTCCTTTCTCCACAGTCATACAACTATCCCTGTTAGCAGGTTCTAGACTGGATGTATTTAGAATTAGACATCTTTTTGCTTTCTTCTAACCTTTGCGAGCTTCTTGTAACATTTACAGCTGTGTCTACTTGATAAGCACACTGGGAAGAAGGTATAAACGAGGATGTCTTAGCCCAGGCTGTTTAAATACTATCTGATAAGGTTGCATGTGAAAGTTGATTTGTTATATCTGTTCACTGTATTATGTTGTGCTTATTGGAGTGCATGATCATTCTGTATGTACTGGATTTTATTTTTCTCCTTGCCTCTTTCACAGAGAAAACAGCAGAGTTCTTCCTTCAGCATGTGGACAGTGCTTGTGTTTTCTGGAATGCCAGTACCCGATTCTCTGACGGCTATAGATTTGGACTTGGTAAGAGAGAAAATAGGGCATGGCTGTGACTGCAGGATTTGCTGTTGTGTGAAAAGTGTGGCAGTCTAAATCCTGGAAAATAGGATTAGTCTCTGATCTTACTGTCTAATGTAAGGTATTTAGGAAAGGCACCACAGGAAAAGTTGAAGCCTAGACATTCCATCCACATGGAACAGCAGACAGTTTAATATCGCCTTCCTGCCAGAACTAGGTAATACTGCTATACAGACTATGTAGATGAATTGAGCAGTAGGGATCAAAGATGTTTTGGATCCTTGAAGCTCTATTCAATCAGTAAAGTATGCATGCATATGTGGTAGAGTGACGCAACAAAGAATCTGAAATAGGTGAACAGTTTTTCTTTTGTTTATTTTTCTAATGATACTGTAAATAATGCCAAGCTTCGTTCTTGCTGGGCAGACTGAGCTGCTGCCCAGTGTGCCAGCCCAGCAGTGTTGAGGAATGAAAGGTAAGAAACAAACTATCAGTTGCTTGAAGAGGAGCACCTACTGTGAATTGCAGAAGTCGAGAGAAACAGTCCTTCTTGAAACAGAAACTCAGGAAACTCTGTAGCAGGCTATTACTGTGTCAGCTGGAACATTCACTGTTCCATGTGATTAAAAAACTCTAGTTAGGGTCTTGCAATATCTCCTCAATGTGATAAAGAAGGACATAAGATCACAGACTTGACCTGTTTAACTCTGTTTTTTTAAAGGGATTAACCGCACAAAAATCAAGTCTTAAGATCCATGTAAGAGATAGCATGCAAGAGATAGCTCTCTTGCATCTTTCTAAGTAACGCTGTAGCAGCCAGAAGTATAAACATTACAATTTCTAATGTAATAGTTAAGCTCCTCTGTCTTTTACATTGGGTAACCGTAACTTCTGGCATTTGGAGAGGAGTGGAGAAAGGCAGGTCCCTGAAAGGCAGGCAGCAGTCTTTACGTAAAGGTGCAAAACTACTTAGTATGAAGTGAACATCCTTAAAGGATGAACTACCTTTATCTTGTGTTCCCTGCAGGTGCTGAAGTGGGAATTAGTACTTCTCGTATCCATGCACGTGGACCAGTGGGAATTGAAGGACTCTTAACAACAAAGTGGTTGCTGAGGGGTGACAATCATGTTGTTTCTGACTTCTCAGAGCATGGCAGCATGAAGTATCTTCATGAGACCCTCCCTCTTCCTCAGAGAAATACCAATTAAGAACATCGGGGGGGGGGGAGGAAACCTAGGGGTATAAATATTTCCCGATGATATTCAGGATTTGGGGTCCCCTCTTGGGAGGGAGGTATTTTTCATCTTCAGGAATGTTGTTCTTGGTCACTGTGCAGTACAATGAATATAAAATAATCCCATCTATGAATTTTTTTTTTTCCTTGCCTCAGTTTTCTTAGATAGTATCTGTAAACTGACCTCACTTTTCTGAGACAGAGTTCTTTGAAACATACAGGTAACATTCAGAAAAATTGAAATAGCTACTGCATTCTTTTTGGATCCAAATGCTTCCTGTGGCGAATATGCTTGGTGGTGGAGCATAATTTTCTTTTTTAAGTCTTGGTTTTATTCAGTTACCTCTTCTGGAGAACAAACTCGATAGGGTTTTTTTAGCTCAGTCTTGTAGTCATGGCAGCTCTTGAAAGCCAGAAAGCTCTATGCTTGCTTTCTTTCTATTTGATCGCCCCTGTGATGGATGTGCTAAATGCATAGTAAGCTTGCCCAAGAGACCTGATCTCTAATTTCTTTGTATTGTTGACTATTGTAGATAAATAACACAACTGTCTACTACATGAATTTTGTTACTTACTTGTACCGGTTTATTTTTGGTTTTATGTGAAACTTAACCCTCCACTGACCCTCCTCGCAAAGCAGCACCCTGTCGACCATGCCCTTTCCCACCTAAAGCGGCGCTTCCCGTGGTGCACTGCGGCACAGGGCCTTGCGCATGCGCTCACCCCGGCAGCTCGGCCCCGCCCCGCACTGCCGCCGCAGGCCCTGCCACCACATGGCGTGCATGCTTCTGCAGCACCGGCTCAGCGTGCACATGTGCGAGTCGGCCGCGCGGAAGCGCTGGGCGGGCTGCACTGCCATGCAGTGAGGCTGCCGTTTCCGTCTCGGCCTGCAGCCACCGCCACTGTGGCTCCTCCTGTGCCTCGGGGCTGGCGCACGTGCAGCGCTCGACAGCCTGTCTTGGCTCGCCCCTCTGCTGCTCGGAGCGTGCGCGGTGCGCGGGGGCAGCGTGGCGGGAGGCAGGACACGTGTTCCGCGAATGCTGAGGGCCCGCGCACACCAGTGAGGCGAGTGAGACGCCTTGGTAGCCGCGCATATCTCCTGGTCGCCGGAGGCGGCACGGCCGGGGAGCTCAGCCCAGCACCAGGTGGGCGCGACATAGGCTCTGCCGAGCCTTGTCCTGCCGTCAGGGCCCTTGTGCCGTCCCGGCGGCAGCCGGTGCGGACACTTGGCCGCGGGAATGGTGGGCAGGTCCTGGAGCAGGACGGTGGTGCAGGTGACGGTGTGGGTGGGGCACGTCTACCTGAGCTTGCGGGCGAGTTGTAAGGAAGTTTAAAACCAACCAATTAAACATATTTAATTATATTTTGAATCAGGCACGATAAGTGCAACTGGGAGAGGTATTGGGGAAGCAGGAAGACGGAGAATAAACAGGTTCCCCCTCCCTCCCAGGTACCTGGAGGCCTCTCCACACGCCCACACTCCACTGGCACGAACCATGGGTGCTTCCCTAACCAACTAAAGCTTACCCTGAGCCTTCCCCAGCCCTGCTCACCCCACACAAGCCTGCCTGTAGCACTAGGTCCTATGTCTGCTCTGCCATCTCTCCAGGCGTCCGGCCCCACCCAGGCAGCCACCCTCAGGAGCTGCATATGCTCAGCATCCCTCTAGGATGGGACCCCCACCCTGACCCCCTGAGGCAACCTCCCCTCCTCCCATCTTGCACAGTTCCTCACCCACAAAAACAGCCACTGAAAGTTCTGAAACTATAAATCCTGTACAAAGCCCCCAATGATCCCCCCACTCAGCCCCAACACTGAAATACTTCATACTCTGACCCAGTTTTTTTAATCCAGAACCTTTCCCAAAGCCTGTCTCATTGCCTCAGAAAAGCCCCAAATGCTCTCCTGGGAGCAGCAAGCCAGCCTTTGAATACCCTTTATTCTTACATAGCATGTCATTAGAATCAGTTAGGGGAAACTGATATCACCAGAAAGTTCTATGGAAGGAAGAGTTCCAGCATGAACCAAAATAACTTCTTTTAAAAGCTGCTGCTTGTTTCTGTCTCTCTGGGGCAGCATTGAGGATTAAGTAATCTATTCCTACCCCATAGATACCACTGACTGTATTTGGCTTAGCTTTACTGTGGTTATTTCTGGTTTGTTTTATCATATATGCATATGAACTATATGTAATACTTGCTTTTTAGAGTAAATGGCATAGCTGAAGTTAAAGAACTCAGAACGTAAATCAGCTGAAGAATAAAATTAAGCGGATCAAACTGTTTCTATCTCCAAACAAGAGAAACCCTGTTTCTATTGGTGAGGAAGGATCATTATTAATAGTCATCAAGATAATAGATCACCAACATATAATTCAAGCTTTACATATAAAAAAGTATGAGATATATATATATATATTTGTGTGTATACAATTTTGTGCATGAGTGAAGTCTTACAAGGAGCTGTAAGCAACAAGTTATCTTAAGTGGATGTTAGTTAAATGATGGGAGCTGCAAAACAGAAAGTGATAGAAACATCTGACCTGTAAAATTCTCTGGGCAGGGCCGAGAACACGCAGTAAGTCCCAGGCCCTTTGGTCTGTGTCCCTCTTTTCCCTGATCTGGTCCCAACCTGCCCTTCTCTGTATGGCCCCACCACACCCCACTGTCTCATTGCTGCCTAGCTCTCTTGTCTGTCCCTTCTTGCACTGTTCTTCATCCTTCCCTTCTCTCCATACCTCCCACATCCCTCTGCATGTCCTCTACCTCTTCCTGCCCAAGTCCCTCTTAACCCACTTCCAGTCCCCCTTAACCACTGCTGCATCCTTCCTGCCCTCTGCCTGAATCTTCCTTTTCTCTGGGGACGTTACTGATGGCAGCAGTGGCAGGGAAGGGGCCTTGATGCTTATCTTCCCACTTTCCCCATGAGGTGCTGTGCCACCATACTGAAATACACTGGTGTCTGCTACCTCTCACTCAGGGATAGCCGGTCCTCACTCAGGACCAGAACTGCCTACAGGGCAGCGGTGGGGGCCCTGAGCCCCAGAGCAGACTCACTCCCTTCTGGGACTTGCTCTGTCTGTGATTGAATAAACAGTTGCTGGCTCCTGGCTGCCTTTTGTGCTTCCTTTCCCCAGGTGAGGGGCTGGGAGGGGTGATGATGCTCTGTGGGGGTGGGTGATGGCCTCCAGCTGTGGGCTGGGGCTGGAGGGGCCCCAGGTTTGGGCAGTGAGGCTGATGGCAGCGGCCCCTCCCTGTAAAGGGGTTGCTCCGCAGCCATTGGAGGGGTTGGTGTCAACCCAGGGAGGAGCAGAGCAGTGGCTGAGCATTGCTGGGCTGTGGCTGCACCGAGGGAGAAGGTGAGTGGAGCCATGAAATCAGCTGGCAGCTCCTGGGGAAGGAGCTCGTGGGGAGGGTGGCGGTGCCTGCAGGGTGGCACTGCTTGGCGTTGCTGCTCAGTGTTGGAGCTGGTGGCAGGAGCTGCCCCCAGCCGGTAGTGAGCTTCTGGGTGCATTGTTGGGGGTTCGGAGGAGTGAGCCATGGTGTCCCTGCAGGGTCAGAAAGCAGAGAAAACTGCCTATCATGACACAGCGGGAGCTGTTGTCCTGGTGTGTGGGGTTTCTGGCCACCTGCATCGGTTCGCTGGGTCACCCTGGGGTGCGTGGTCTTACAGCCCTTGGTGTGCAGGCGGCCGTGCTGCGTTGGCCAGCACGTGCCAGGAGCTGCAGGTTCTGTGGACTT